CCGCCATTAAGGCGGGCCAGGCTCAACCCTCTTTTTACCGGGCCGGGTTAGGGTTGACCCGCCTAACCCGGCCCATTTTTTCCACCTCTAGGTGTATCGGATTCTGAGACTAGAAAAGCAACACTATTTGAATCTATTGCATTTATGTTAGTAAATTCAGGAAGACTAAGATAGTTTTCTTCATCATCGAAATCGATAGGATAAAAATATATATCCATTGTAGTTAAAAAAAAAAAAATTGATAAAGAAAAAATAAAAAGTTAAAGAAGGAGAATTGGAATTTGGAAATATGAATTGAAAATTGCAAAAACTAATAAAAATTAAAATGAGAGCAAATTGACAACAAAAATAATAATTGAGAGATTTCAATAGAGATTAGAGAAAATGAGAGAATGAGAGAATTTGGGATGTGAGAAAATATGAGTTTAGTCCTTATTTATAAAAAAAAAAAAAAAAAGGAAAAAAATGACAAAAAAGACCCCTCTAACTAATATAAAACGGCTATATATCAAAGGTAAAATGGATATTTGCAAAAAAAAAAATTATTTTTTAATTTTTTTCATCCAACCCGACAGGTTGACCGTTGGGCAACGACCAACCCGCCAAGTTGAAAACTCCCAACCCGATGGGTTGGAGGGTTTTTTTTTTTAAATAAAAAATTTAACTTATCGGGTTGACATATTAAAACCCGGCCCGCTTGACGAGGTATATGCGGGTCGGGTTCAACCCAGCCCACCTTTTAGGCGGTCTAGATTGAACCCGTCTTAATGCGGGCCAGGTTAGGATTGACCCGCCTAACCTGACCCATTTGTTCCACCTCTAAATTCACATCCACAAGTTCTTCTCTCCAGCCGGATGTCTTCTTCCTACTCCAAGGTCTTCCATGACTAGAGATGTTTGATCGTTGTTCTCCTGTTATTCGATCCGAATCAGGTTCGAACTCACTGTCGTCATTCTTAGTCGATCCATGTTCAGATGAATTGTAGTTCGAATCCACTAGTTCGAACGTTGATGTGTACGCGAATCTTCCAATGGTGCTTTGCTTTTTAAAAATGTCCTCATATAACTCCTTATACTAAAGTCCCTTACGAAAGAACTGCGTCGCCTATTTGTTATGTTGGTAACGAAAACAGACATACATTAATATGTGTTTGTCAAGGAAAAAGGCGTAAAACGTACGATGTCATAAATTAATATGAATTAAAAATATGAAAAGTTACCTTGACATATTCTCTCCAAACCTCTATAAAACATGCTGGCATTTGGTGCTGATGATCCCACCCAAAACGTGTGTGTTGCATAAGTTTGCGCCAAGCATTATAGGTATTTTTCAACCAGAGGAACTTAGAAACTAGTTGTCCTACGTCGAGCTTCTTCCCAACCAACGGTTCCAAATCAGCCAACATATTCTAGTAATCCATCGTTTTAATTGTAGTACCATGGCATTTTTCACACGCTCGGACAACAGAATCAAAAATTGGTGGGTCATCTCATCGGACCAGCTAACGTTATTACTCATCTAACAACAGTACGGCGGAACGACAAACAAAATTGAGACATTGTAATAATAAAGCAAACACAACAACACTCACATACGCAAATTAGACCCTCATAAACTAAACGTAGAGAAACTGTTACCTTGTTTGATCTGACACTACTTGAAAGCGTCAATACATGAGAAGATATGGGCAGGGTTGACCAACAACGTCTACAACAGACTCGAAGTCTATAAAAACATTGAAACTGCCTCCTTTACCTATAGTAGTATTGAATCCTACGACATAGCACTTTCATTACAAACACATCTCTTCATACGACAACTCCAAACCTGCAAAACAAATGGATATTTTATATTAGTAACAGTTAATTACAGAATTAACAAAAACAATATGATTTAACAATCTCAAAACGCACCGTTTTGAAAATATTTCCAAATGTTACAAAAAAAAAATAAACAAATTAAATTAACATAATATATTGTGATTTAAAATAAAAAATAGACGCCCCAACTACAAATTTCATGTTATCGGAACTTGATGATAAAATAGTCAAACCCAATTTTACAAATTTTGATTAACGAAATTGCCCCTTTCACATTTCTTTACCTATTAAAAAGGCATTTTAACCTATTTCAAATAAATTTCTTTTTACTGCAAATTACCCTTTCACATTTTCATGTAGTTCACATATTTCATATCATTTTCGTCTCCCCCCTCATCTTCCCTTTTTATTTTTTTGACCTTTTGATAAATCCAAACCCGTTTGGAACTTTGGTGGCTCTTGGTTGGAGGTGGGTGGCCGACGGTAACTTCACTGGGAAATGTGCACCGATGTTGGCAATCGGAAGATGGTGGCCTCGGGTTGGAGGGTGGCCGACGATGGGTGAACTTCACCACAAAAGGTGCGCCGACGGTGGTTAAAAAGGATGCTGGGCTCGGGTTGGATGAGGAAACCGAGATGGTGGCAGATCTTCAGTTCTGGGCGCCGGTGGTCGCGCTCGAAACTGGTGGCCTGGGGTTGGAGCAGGGTGGCCCAAGGTGGTCCGAAGAACTCGAAAATGGTGGCCGGTGATCATGGTCGTACCTGCTGGCCTCGGTTTGTCGGAAGAAACCGAAAGATGGTGGAGTTTCTTGAGTCTTAAGCGGCGGAAGACGGTGTTTTTGGGTGGTGTTTTTGTATGCAGGTGGAAGAGAGTGTTATGGTGGTTGTAACGTGGAAGGGGATGGCGGTACGTTTGTAATTTTTGAAGAATAAATATGGAAGAGGGTGGCGGCGGTTCTGATCTTTGAAGAATAATGTGGAAGCCGTGGTATAAGGTGGAAGTCGTAGATAAGCTGAAGAAGGAGAAAGAAGAGGAAAGAAGGAAAAAAAAGTAAACTGCCGTCACAGGTTTCCGATCTTTGAAGAGAAGGTGGAAGCCAAACTGAAGAAGGAGAAAAAAGAAGAACGAAGCAAAAATAAATAAATAAACTGTGGCTGTGATCTTTGAAGAAGAAGATGGCAAGGGATATATGAAGGTGGACCGTGGAAGAAAACTGAGAGGAAGGAAAAAAAAAAAAAAAAAAAGGAGAAAACATAAAAAAGGTCTGCACCGCCGCCTGCATAACCAGAAGTCAGGAATCAAATCTAAAATCTGATTTCCTGAATAATGCTTATTTAAAAAATCAGATTACAAAAAGTTAAATATAATAAGGAAACAAACGGCTTCCGTCTGGTCACGTGCGCTACAAGCTGTCCAAATCAGTTTCTAATTCTGTTTTAACATAAGGAAAATGATAGAGTTATCGAAAAGTTTACATCGAATTTATGTATCGAATAATGTGATAAAATCTTGACTATTGATTAATATTAATTGATAATAAATTAATGATCAAGATTTTACTACGTTATTCGGTGCACAAATTCAGTACACACCCGTCGATAACTGTAGCATTACTCTTTAACTGCGTTTGTTTCAGTTTTGGGAATACTACTTTTAGTATTCTCAAAAAAGTTAAACAGTAAAATACCCAAAAATTCAGATTTTTGAGAATACTACTCCCAATATTATTCAACTTTTTTTAAACCCCTTAAATTTGATAATTTAATTAAATATCCCTAAATATTTTTTTTAAAATTACAAAAACACCCCAATAATCCACATTTACCAAATTCCGGCCACCACCACCGGAAAATGGCCAGAATCTGGTAGGATGGCGCACTGCCGGCTGAATCTGGCCGGTAGTGCGCCGATCTAGCCTTTTCCGGCCAGATCCACGGTGGATCTGGCCGGAAAAGGTCAGATCTAAGGCCAAAGATCTGGTCGTTGGCCGTAACAGTCGGTCATGACGGCCAACAAACGGTCGCCGTCAACGACGACCGTTTGTTGGCCGTCGTTGAGAGCAAATACGGCCAGATCTGGCCGGAAAAGGCCATATCGGCGCATGACCGGCAAGATCCAGCCGGTTATGCGCCCATAAGGTGACTTTGGCCACCTCCGGTGGTGGTGGCCGACTGGGGGTGTTTGAGGGTGGATTAGGGGTATTTTTGTTCACTTTTAATGTTTTATTATAGGGGGTATTTTGTAAAAAAATAAATATATAGGGTATTTTATTAATTTATAAATCCTACATCGTAATACCCGCTCAATTCAACTTTTTTTTAACTTTTTTCAAAAAACTTTTCCCAAAACCCCCAAATTTTGAACCAAACAGAGCCTTTAACATTATTATTATTATTATTATTATTATTATTATTATTATTATGATTGAATTTGTTTTTATTCTCAATATTCATTTTTATTAATTAATTCATATTTACCGTAAAAATTATGTATTTTAGACGACACCGCAAAAATGATACATTTGGACAGACAAATACTATATATGCAAACACAAATCAGTAAAATCACATTTATCTCCCTCTATACACACACACGCACTGAAGTACTTGACTATTTGACTAAACACTCTTAACAGTAACATTGAAAGGAGATGCTCCTCAGCTTCATCATCTTCTTTGCTGGTTCTAGCCGCCCCGAATCCACCTTTGCATAAACGGGATTGAACATTTGTTGTTTTAACAAGGAAAGCATAATAATTTCACTCTTATATTTAGAGGTAACATGCATGCAAGATAGTTTTTTTCAATTTGAGAAATTTTATCTTATTCTTGGAAAAAGTTAAAAGGATATAGTTTGTCTCTTAGGATTTACTTATATAAGACAAGAAATAAAGAACAAATTGAAATTATTTGAAGGTGGTGAACGTACTCTCTTCGAAAGACTCTTTTTCAAGTAATCAGTGACTAAGAGTGTTCGTAGTATTGAATATCCATGATAACTGAAATACAATTACAGCAAAGAGATGGAGGAAAAAAATCACTTCATGGCTTTCCAAGTGCAAAATAGAGGGGACCATGTGCCTATTTCTTCAAAGTTTTCTTCCTGACCAGTGGAAATCACGGTCACTCAGTCTTGGGCACTCGGGTCATGCATAAGTTTTTAAATCAACAAAGAGTAATGAGATTTAAAAGCAAAAGTTCACCATTGAAGCTTCAGGAGTGACCAGTTTTGAGCACAACGAAAACATCTAACCTTTAAACAAAAGAAAAGAAAATGTATTTAATGATTAAATCTAGACATTGGAGCACAACCAGCAACAAAAAATAAAATGGAGTCTCTCAAGAAGTTCTGACAAGTTTCACAGACCAAAAATCAAAACTCTAAATTACAATTATAATCAGTTGGAGAGTTTAGTACTCCCATTTCTTCATTTCCATACCATCTGGAGGACTTCCTTCTACCTTCTTGGAACCAACTTCTTTCCAGTTTGTAGAGAGCACTGTCCCATTTGACTCCACCTGTAAAACAGGATCAACAACATTAAGATTTGACACATATTACAGGTTAGAATTAACACATAGATGGGGCCAAATTTTCTTACAAAAGATTTTTTCATGGCTCTTCTTGTGTCCTCATCAGCATCGGCATAAATGTCTTGGAAAAACTTGTTCAAAGCTGCATCACCATCTAGCTTCTCATCCTTTTCCTGGAAGACAGGTGACAAAGAATCATGCCTTTTACAGAGATGTATTTCTGAAGAGAAGTTCTCATAAACATAGAAACCAAAAAAAAAACCTAAATTTTAGGCACACCTCTTTCTTCACTTGAGCTTCAAGCTTATCCCAATCTTTTGTAGGTTTTGAGGATGGGTAAGTTGGTCGTTGAGATCCAGTAACTGCAAAATCAGTCGCAAGTATTATACTTGTTGAAAGGGATATAAGAAGAATGTTAAAGTCGGCAAGCCAATCACGACATTGGTACTGAAGCAACCACAAAAAAGTTCAGGCACAAGCTTTTCATTAGCTACCAAGTATCCTAGTCTACCCACCGGGTTCCCACCTCATAAACCCTGAAACTAAGCAGTTTGTCAAACATCACAAACAGTTCCTTCTATTTTCAAGAATAATAATGGGCTCCCCTGTATTATTTTCTCACTAATTACTAAAGAGACCTAAGCCATTTTATCATTAATGTCATCTGACTACCAAACATTAACAAGCCCATCAAAATTTCAAACTGAACCAATCAAAGTATTAATTATGCCGTCTAGTAGCAGAGCAGACATATGGCTACCAGACAAGAAAATTCTGAACCCTATTTGTTAAAAATATATGCATTTTGACAAACAAAAACAAAAGGCAGGTATATGAGTTTCAACATCTTCAATGACAAGGATTTTACAGTACTGCTGCAACAGAAAAAAATTCATTCTAGCTTCCCTGACCACAAATTAGAGATTTAAAACATTATTGTAGTTCTCCACATGGATTTACATCATGAACTCTATCAAGTAACTTATAAGTTGATCCAGCGTCTTACTTTAAGATTTTAAATTATATGCGCACAGGTGCATGATAATGTCTTCATGTAAGTGAAGTGAGTGACAAAAAATGTGACCCAAACACAAGATAACCTTGACATCAAAGTGAGATCTGAAGAAATTGTTATATTACAAGAACATCAACCTACCAGATGATACATTAACCCTTTGCAAAACTGGATTTTCCTTGGTGAATTCAAGAGCTGTCCAATGTATTGGTTCAGCTTTTGCGAGACGGATTTCAACTTTGGTAGACAACACATCATATCTGCACTTCGTGGGTATTATCTGTTTGCAAAAGACCAAAAAGTACAATAAGGATCAAAGACAAGTAAAAATTAATGAGCAAATGGTTCCAAAAAAGACAAAACAAATCCACTGCCAGCTAAGGCAAGAACATAAATCAAGACTTTATTCGCCACGCAAATAAATAAAATTTTCTGTTTAAAAAGATTTCCTAATTCTTAATCCCACACCATTATCAAAATCTAATGAAATTCATGAATTCTATGATTTTCCCTCCATCATCAAGTAAGAAATTCTAAATGTTGATATACTTCTGATTACTTACTGAAATCAATAACTACTGCAATACCTTTCCAAATAAGCGAGGTTGAAAATGATATGCCTCTTCACCGGGAACATCAATGCTAACACTTAGCTATAAAGCAAAAAAAAAAAAAAAAAAAAAAAAAAAAAAAAAAAAAAAAAAAAATTAGCCTTTGCCTGGTTTATCTATCTTTACCCAAAACATTAAAGAAATGAACCACAACACAGGTGAATAAGAATTGATGTGCATCATACTATCTGTTCACCGAAGTCAACAGAAACATTTTTGGCTGGTATCCCTTTGAAATATAGTCACGACACTTCCTCAGGCTTCTGGTAATGTTCATGCCTGACAGATGTCAAATAATGGTTACCAATTATCCCAATACAGTTTATATGAGAACATAAATCTATGACTATGAGATCCGCTATAATTCTATCCATATATAATCTGATCTCCAAATCATACTTGCCAGATCCAGTTTCTTTTTCTCTCCTTTTTTCCCTTCTGAAGTAACTCTCATCAACTATTATTATCTGATGTGAAGTTTTAGAAGTAATACAATAATATAAAAAATCCCCTATGGATATGAAATGGTTAATTTGCAAATATGTTTGTATTCTCCCTGTTTTAAAGCAAAAAATAACCATCAGAATTGGATCATCTTTTGAAATAAGCTTTTATTTGAGCATATATGAAATTGTGAGAAGAACACAATGGTAATATATGGTTAAAAGTCAAGTCTTAATCCTTTTTCCTACCTATCAATCACAAATTTTAGTGTTGTTCAGTTAAAAGCTGAAATTAGTAGAATTGTGGTCCATATATCAGTCACGTTCCCTTTCCTTCATTAATTAAATAAATTTACCATAGTATTACAACACAAAATCATAGGTAACATAGCTTGTGAGATGTTCAGGATAAAGTCTATCATACAAAAGATGAGGTTCACCTACTACAAGCCCTTAAAATTGTTTTGTCATGGAACCAAATATTGAATTGTCTTTTTGTTGTGAAACGGTATTAAAAAGCAAGCTTTAAAACTTATGTTCTAATAATACAGTTAGAAGGCATGCTTAACAAGGCTGTGAGTAAAGGACAATTGCTTAATTTTTGCAAGCTTGGCATGTTTGATATCTTACTCTAACTTAAGGAGAGTGATAGATTATAACAAGTTCAGGCCAATATATGAAGGTTGTGAATATCTGTTGATTAATGTATCAAGGTTGTCCCCTATTCTAGAGAGATAAATCACCTTCATTCTCAATCTGTTATCCTTTCCTTCTCTTCCTTTTGCAAATCTAACAATGGCATTGCAAAGGAATTAAAAGAAAATATCATAACTCATTCACACTCAAATCCCAAAATGTAAATGCAATCTACAAGAATGTGAAAACTACGAAGAGCAGATGATATTGACTTCTCGATGTACAGGACTTATTAAATTCAGAAAAGTCTAAACAAGAACAAATTTTAGCACAAACCTGAATTTTGGTTTGGCTACTGGTATCACTGTCCCCTGGTTGGGAAAGTTCAATTCTGGCTGAGCATCTCTTGTAGATACATCTGTTGGAGGCTTTTCTGATAAATCCTTTTGCAAATCACCACATTCCTCTGAAAAGAAACGCAAGGTCTTTAACTAAGATTAGAAGGTCACTAGATATTTTCATTAATCTGAAATTACTCTTTGGGTATTTCTTCTCTCTCCCTAAAATTTCTTGGTACCAAAAGGGTTCTACAGCATCTCAGGTTGATATAGGTCAATAAGCCTTCATTACTTGCACAATGAAAGAAACAGAAAAATAAAAAAAGCAGAAGAAAACTACAAACCAGCTATGCGCTCATTGCACTCTTCTATTAGGTTGGTGAATCTTGATTCTCCCGGTGACAGTGTGGCACCTGTTTCCAAGGCTGCCTTCGCAGTCTGATATTCCTCAAGCTTCATGCAAGCAGTGCTGCACATGAAAACGGAAGAATAAGGAAAATCAATTGGCAAGATTCCATCAACAAAAAACACCATACAAAGCACACAATTTACCCTCCAATCACATCAATAAACAACCAATGAGAGTCAAATGATACAAAACATGACATCCACGTAATGGACAAACAAACTAGTTTATTTTTCTTTTCAAAATAAAATGGGCAATGGTAACTGAAACTAAAGGTCCTTAAAACTGCTAACCCATAATCAGCCCTGAAAACATCATTCTTACCCAAATTTGGACACTAATAGAACCAAATCATTCAGCTTATATATTTCAAAATTATCCTTGTCAAAACTCCAATTCTCAACAAAACTGACAGAGTTGCTAATTGATTGCCTCTACAACTCGAAGGGCGGTCCAATCTCTCACAAGCTCATAAGTACAGAAGATATTTACCAAATCGTTGATTAAATAACAATGAAGAGATTCATCCACTAATGCGATAATATGAATACCATAATCTTATAATTGGCAGTAATAATTAAAAAGGAACATCTCAACAAATGATTAAAATACAAAAAAACAAAAACAAAAAAGCATCAATCAAAAATCTAATTGAAGTATACGTGACTCACGCTTTACGCAAGTAGGCTTTGGGCATTGAAGAGTCCAACTTAATTGCTTTGTTTGCATCCGACACAGCCTCTGCACGCAAAATAACAGTTAACAAAATAAGTTTATTAATTTTCAAAATTGGACACTGGATAATAAAAACTTTAAAACAATTCAAAGAAGGTGGAAAGATACCAGTAAAATTTAGGAGTTTGATGTTGGCTTGAGCGCGGTCAGCATATAACTCAGCGTTATTAGGGTTAATATCGATGGCTTGGGAGTACAGATCCACTGCAAGCTGAAAGTGGTCGTCGATGAAGGCCTCTTTAGCTTTCTTTTCGAGATCGGTAGCCATTGCAGAGTTGTAGTTTACAGAGAAGGAGAACTGAAACGAAGGGTCTAGAAGAGAATTGGAGCGACCGTGTTGTGCGAGAGTATGATTGACTTGATGAATTTATAAAGACGAAACGATAAATAAAAAGAGTACCAAACTACCAATTATTATTCCATTTCTTATTTAATTATTAATTCAGTCATTGGTCCGTATTAAGCTTGTTTAATTTACCATTTTACCCTTCAAACTCTGGACTTTTCACTTTTCAGGGGTGTCAATTGGAAATTTCCGATAATTCTCCGGTCCCTAATTCAGCGCCTTTTTTAAAATAATATTAATTAGATTAATTTATTTTTTTAAAAATAAGGTAAAGCAAGTATTAGTATCTGGATGAGAATCGCTTTCATTATTTTGATTTGGTCGAATGAACAAGTTAAGAATCCTGAGATTTTTATTTTTTCCATTTTTTGAGCATTCAAGAAAAGTATCATCCACAGTTAGACGCTGCATCTAAATTTCCTTGATGTTGCAAGAAAGATTCATTCATCCAACTTTCTAGAAATTTCCATCTTCAATTGACTTTCTCAATCATACAATTCCAAGTCAACAATTAATAGTACTTTCACACAACTCCTGCGAAATTTCATTCATAACCCGTTAAATTTTGAAGTACATATGGGATAGGTTTGAAATAATCTGATTCTGAGCTGGAAAACCAGCTGAGAAATTATTTTAAATTCAATTTAACCAATTTTATTTTACAGAAAATTCTCTACCAAGTTGTTGTTAGTGAGATTATTTAATTGAATACTACCAAGTTGACATATAAATTTTAATTTGGAAATGGTGGTGATAATGTTTTTAGAAAGGAAAGGGCGTTTACTCGTAAGCTTCGTTGATGCTTCTGTCCTGCGGAAATTAAGTTCCATGAAGCAGCAGTGTGAATGATAAATGCAAAAGTCTTGACTGATTTGTTAAAATGTGAAAGCCAACTTTCTAGCAGATTTACTTGACTATTCAAGGTAAAATAATTGGGTTGTGAGCTTAAAAGTTTCTCTCTAGGAAATTAGTAACTTCTCTGAATTTTCAGTTTTTTTTGTTTTTTTTTTTTTTTTTCAATGATCAGGGGTGTCCGGCCCTGGGACTCTAGAACTATCAGTTGGATGAGAATTCCAGTAGTCACCTTTATTAAGGATCAAGGTGAATTGAATTTAAAATCTCTTAAATGATATATCCAAATATCCTAATTAACTATTCGATCACCCAGTGCTGGTCATAAGCTTAATTCTCAGTTTATGGCTTTTACTAGCAAAATAACAAATTAAGTAATAGTAAATTCCAAAACTCTTTGACATTGTAAATTTCATTTAGAACCCTATATTATGCAGGTGAGATTAACACTTTTCTTCAAAAGATTACCCTTGAGACCTTTGCTTTGGTAGTCGCATTTTATGCTGAGGCAAGAAAATGCACAATTCTTTGAGCCTCATAAATAATAACGTTATTATATTTACCTTTTAAAATCAAACATTACATAAAAGATTTACCACGTGATGACATAAAGTCATAATGGAAGAAAGTACATGCACTAAATATTGATAGCTCTTATGTGCACAATAGTCCTTATGGTACAATAATTTCTATCTTGGGCACAAACACTTTGAATTAAACCTTATTCTAACTTAGTTATTCTTAACACTCTTTTTATATAATTTATAATAATTAAGTAGTCTTCAAAACTTTTATAAAAAATATTATTTCTTACAAAGGAGGGAAAAACAATCATATAACAGTCACCACCAAGAACACCACCACCAACGGCCTTGAAACCATTGGGGATAACTGCCACTAAGTAACTAAGTTCTTCTTAATGAAAATCTCAGCAGTTACACTTATCCCTTGTACAACAAAAAACCATGTCACTTCCCACGTAGGAAGCACACGTAAAAGATGATAAAAAATCGTTTTATGCATAAAACTTGAGACAACAAATGTGATAATGACACTTGGATATTGAGTTCATTTTTCTCTAATTATACGACCAAGTATACATTGTACTATATTATATACATTAAGGCGTAGAATATCTGTGACCATAAGGTTCTATCTGCAGCCCCAAAATTTTTTTAATAAGGTGGCTAGATGGGGCTTGTTGAATTGTGGCTCGAGCTCAAAGCCAAAAATACAAGCTAGGGTAGCACGCATGGTTAGGATAATTTCAAGTGAAAGATACACTCGGTAAAAATGAAGGATTAAGAGTGCTTTGTGATGTATATATTGACGATAGCCATAGACTAGAAGTAACATAACTACAAGTACAATTTTGATGACTAGTTTGATATATTTAGAAACTTGATGTGATTTTTGGATTGGACTGCAGATTTGGGGAGATGGGTTTGGTTTTATTTTGATGGGAAGAGAAGCTACCAAGATAAAATGGAAGAGTTTATTAGGTTGAGATAAGGGGCCTTGACCAACGGCAAAGAAGAGGAGTTTGAAGTTGGCAAGCCATGTGAGATAGAAAGAGGTGCAACCGGTGAGATTGAGAGAAGAGAGGCTTGAAGGGAGAGTGATGAAGAGGTAGAAGACTGGGAAGAGGGAGATGAGCCTTAAAAAACCCTTTGGGATTCTGGATGTTATTAGATATCAATAGCTCAAACATGTAATGGCTACAGTCCATACCTTGGTTAAGTCGTTGATCTCTCCTTCCATTTCTTAATTTGTGGCTCCTCTTTGTAGCTCCTCTCTCTATGTTTGTGTAGATCTCTGATCACTTAAATTTGAGAGGTTAATAACTTGCATTTAATTGGTTAGATTTGTGTATTAATTATTATTAATTTCTCTGTAGTGCGGGACTGGGACGACTTCTGAAAATAAAGGGAGAACGACATATTCCCACCCAAGGTTTGGCAAAACGACACTTCCGACCCTTTAAGTTTCAAAATGACACTTTCCCACCTTTCGTTAGGTTCTGTTATGTTTTTCGTTAATATTTTATTGAAAAGATGAGAATACCCTTAAATATTTGACTTTATCAATTTTTTATTATTTTTTAATTAACCAAAAAGTCAAATATTAAAGAGTCAAAAAAGAAAAAACAGTTAACCTACATAAAAAATTAGGAATAATGCTATAAAATTGTTTAAAATTAAATGACCTAAATATTTATTTATTAATTTATAATGTCATCAATATTCCATCACTATTATTCAATAATCTACTAAATTTATAATATTTTTCATTTTTACTAATTAATATAGAAAATCAATATTTCTAATTAATTAAATAAATAAAGGGAAAAATATATTTTTACACTTGAACTAATAAATAATAGAGTAAAGATTTTAACTTAACTAACTTTTTAATTTATAATAAACTAATTAAGAAATAAACTATTTAAAAGTATTTTTATCTTTTCAGTCAAATATTAATAGAAAACACTAATAGAACCCGACGAAGGGTGGGAAAGTGTCATTTTGAAACTTAACATGTGAGAAATGTTGTTTCGCCAAACCTTGGGTGGGAAAATGTCATTCTCCCGAAAATAAATTAAGAATGGACCATTTCAAGCCACGATCACATCACATTCAATGTTGAATATTTTGAGGGCGTTTGATTGGTGATAATGTCAAATTATTAGGGTAATGTCATCTTATATTACTTGATTATCACGTTTAGTTGTCAAGTAATATAAGATTCCGTAATCTTCAAATACCAATAGTAGTTACTATTGGTGATATTGAAGGTAATCTGATTACCTCCATTTTCTTAGGTATTCTGAGATTACCAGTGTTATCTTTTTTTGTTATAATTTTATCCTTTATTAATGAAAATTTTGGACAATAATGCCCTCATTTTAACATAAATTTACATTAATATCCTATTTCAATTTTACCCTTGTTTAACTAAAATTTTGGACAATAATGTCCTTATATTTAAAACAATTTACAGACCACCACTGCCACTCAGCCACCACCACCATTGCCACCCAGCCACCACCGCCGACAGCGGCCAACCACCACCGACCACCACCAAAAACTTGTCGGAGTCCCTAAAAAAGAACGAGTTTCAGTGGGAGGCTTCGCTATGGCCATTTTCAGTCATATTGATGGCCGAAAACGGCCATATCGAAGCCTCTTGGTCACGGTGAGCTGCTGATGGGGACTTTCGGAGAATTTTGACAGTGGTCTGCAGTGGCGGTAGGCTGTTGCAAGAGGTGGGGGTGATTTCATAATAAATTAAAGTTTTATATAAGCGGGGGTGTTTTAACTAAATCTGAAATATTGGGGGTTAAAAGAAATTATTCAAAAATTAATAATAAAAATAATATTATATTAATATTTGTAAAAGAGACAATTTAGTAATTTAAAATAACATCCCCACCAATTTATTCCCCATAACCAAACATATTAATATAACATACCCACCAACTAACCAAACATATTTTCCTAAAGATTCTCAATAATCTTCCAAGATAATCTATCTTTTCAGTAATCTAATATTTTCAGTAATCTAACAGTCCTGAACCAAACGCCTCTTAATATGAGGTACAGACCTTTTATATATTGACCTGTTAAATTTCTATATTTAGTATTATATTTATTAGTTCATCTGAAAAACTTAACATATTTCTGAAATTTAATAAATAATTTATGTACGAATCTAATCTCATTAATTCAATCAGATTATGAGAATCTAAATTTTAGCAGAATAAATATTAATTAATAAACATAATACAACAGATTTTTGGTAGTTATAAAACTCGAAATAAAACTACACTGAAAAAAATTAGCCCCCTGTTTGTTAAAATTAAGGTTTGAAACAATTAATGTGATTGTGCTAGTATGAAATCATTGTATTAATTGATATTACTTTTTTTATATATAATTAAGGTGACGCTAATATATTCATAACCACGACAGATAATATTTAAAATTGATATTTTGATTTTATTTACGTAATATTATCAAACTTATACATTATAATACATTAGGCAGTAAAACTTCTATATAGTCATAATAGTATAATAAAAAACATCTATATAGTTATAATGGTAGAACAAAAAACCTCTATATAGTCATAGAGTAATGCTAGGTTAGAGGTGACAATGGGTCATGCTAGCACAACCCACAAT